CATGTTTAATGATGAAAATTAATCGGAGGATATAAATTTTTGTCTTAATACATTTTTTGTACATACCTGTTTAGTATTTTTCATATGGAATTGACATGATAGAGAAAAATGTCAAATTGCATATTTTTTCAATGACATCTTTCTACATAAGCCGATAAATGAAGACACTTAAACTTTTGTTGCATTCTAACAAAAAATTCACAATTAACTTGTACCTTTATTCGAAAAAATATCTTTCTTGTTGTAGGTGGTTATCAGATGACTCGGGTCGACCTAGATTCTGTGCTAGTTGACACTTGTCATTACAACGTACCGGTAGTCTTGAGTAAACTGATGCTGCCTTACAGATCTGACTCAGTGTCACTTAGCTTCACAATCTGAGTCCTTGTCACTGAGCTATTCGGACCGCAACTGACAACGTTTATAGAACTGGGGTGTTTATTATTAATTGGGTTCTATTGAGAAAGTTGAAATGTGGATACTAGTCTAAGTGAGTCGACGTGGCGTGTACCATGTTGAGATGTAAGATGGTGATTGAAGGTAGTTGACAGGACATTGTGGACCTAGGCTTCGAGCTACTTAGCGCCTGTCAGCAAGGTATGCTTGTGACCTTGAAGGAACTGATGTTTGATGTCGGACATGTACATCATTAGATTAGACGTTAACTGTTCACATGAATTACTATATACTAACAAAAATAGCAGTTGAGTTCTGGAAAGGGAGTATTCAGCAAGTGAGAGGTATTCAACATCTTTCCATTAATTTGACAGATGAGTGTCGATTCTCCACTGGCAATTTTAGTTCAAGTCCTAACTCCCTATTATTTTTGTTTTTCATTCTGGGATAAGCTACACTGATATGCTCATAGCAAAGATGGATAACTTGAAATCTCCAGTGAAAATTACACTCTTATGTGCAGCACTTTAAAAAAAAAAGACCAACCGACAAAAAGCTCAAAAATGCTGGATATCGAGCACTGAAGTTATTCATAACGTCAAATAGTTCTCGAAAATGATTTATGTTTATTGATTTCATTTTTTTAAAGGTCATATCACACATCCACTTAAGTTAGGTTTCTTCTTAAAATAAAATAAAAATTACTAGTAACTAAGCAATATAATAATTTTTTTAAATTTTTCATAAAAGCAGCAAACGGAATAAAAATTTCGACACTGTTTCCAGTATATTAATTATAGTTTCATTAAAAGTTATATGCACCATATAAAAAAGGTACTAAACTAAATTTATGAAACATATTTTGCTTCTATCAATTAACTAGTCAAATTTAGTGAATACGGTATACAATGTTATAGTATCAGATGATCAAGATTAGTGGATTACTGAATAGTAAAACTATAAAGCCAAAGTACACAGAGTAAAATAAGAGGTAATTCGAATTAAAATTTTTTTTTTCTTCATTTTTTGGAGCTAATTTTGGTACTTTTTATTTTGACAATATTAAAAACAAACTAATGATATAATAAAAATAAGACTAACATATATGAACAGATTACCTTTCAGTAGATTAAAATATGTAATAGTTGATTAAAACCAATGTTTATAACTTATATTTAGTTTGTAAAAAAATAAAAGAACCACAAGTCGAAAGATTACCTGAAAGCTTGGATCCAAGATTAACTATTGGATGAAATCCTTAAAAGCGTTTAGACCCCAAGAAATAGGAACTTATATAGAATGTCATATGTCTAAAGAAAAATCGAAAAGATCTAAGGTATTTTCAAGTTTTATTGATAGGTGGAAAGTATGTAACCCAGCTTAGTACAAATGATTACATATTCGCTTGTCTGTTTAATTCTCAGTACAGATGTTTAAAATAAAAACCATTGTTAAATAGAATCAATATCAAATCAAACATGATTTAACACTTCTATTTTTATTTACTAATGGTAAAAGTGTAGTGTGGTTCCGGACGGTTGGATCACGAATTTCAAGTCAAATTGGGCTAGAGAAGAGAATGAACAATTTCACAAACAGGCATATATAATAAACACAGGACTTGTTGCAAATCTAATCATAAGTGACTACGCTTAAAATTAGAACAGTAAGAGCATAGAAGTAAAATGCAACAGTGAAGAGAAACTAGGGGTGGGAGTGTGGAACAACACTACGTCCAATATTGTAACCAATTTACATATACATAACTCAAATCCCCAAACCATTGATTAATACTATCATATACGTCACCTCCTTTAGACAAAACTAACCCCAAAAATGATACACACAGGCACAAAGCCATTATTTAGTCACAAACCCTTACTCAGTTAACATCTACGCCAGTTACTGTAGCGCATCACGTGAGCAGTAGTCAGAAATAAATAAAAAAAGTTAGACGGTGGTTGGAGGTAGTCGACAGGAAACACTGGATCAGGGTTTTGTGCTACTTGGCACTTGTCAACAAGGTGTACCTGTAATCTTGAGGGAACTGGTGCTCCCTGAAGGATTCGATCCCGTGTCACCCACCTTCAGTCAGAGACGTTACCACTGAGCTGTCTGGGCAGCAACCGACCTCCTGTAGAACTGAGATGTAATCACAATTGATTGATCACTGGGCGATGATCAATGTCATGTGTGTCAATTCCTTATTAGTGCAGATCGAATGCTATCGATCATGTTGCAATGTCGTCACCAGTCTAGGTGACTCGACACTCCGTGTACTATATTGAGATTAGATGGTAGCACGAAACCCGGGTCCAGGGTTTCCTGTCGACTACCTCCAGCCACCGAATACTACGCACAAATCAAACTCGCTCTCTTACCAGTTCCCTTAAATATGAACAATCAATCTTAGACCTTGATTAAAGATACTCTAATGACGCAACATACTCTGAAGATACGTCCGTTGATTCGAAGGCACGTAGTCTGTATCATCTCATTCGCTAAATAATGCTTGCTCATACACAGAAGTTACGCATGTGACGAACTTAAAATCAAAGGAATAAAGTGATACTTACGGGAAAAAATTCGGGAGTAGATTGTACTTAGAATTACTTTAGGCTTGGCCTCTTTCTAGAAAAGGCACAATAATTTCAATCTTACACTAAACTTCAAGCTAGTACACTATTTGTTACACTTCCAAGGTCCAATGGCAAATTGCATAGGAATACTGAAATATAACCTACGACAGAATACAAGATCAGATCAGACAAAGCACTGTGAAGTAGAAATGCGTGAGACGAAATACCATAAGCCCCTAAACGCCCTGGTACGGCCAACAGTGGGGAGAGTCAGCTCTCCCTCTCGAAATGCTCTCACAAGGCCACACGTATATAGCCTCTGCCAGGGAAGTCCTACTCATTGCCTTCTCGCGGCGTGGGTGTTGTTTACGAAATTGAGAGAACGAAAAGAGAATTCAGGCGCATTAACCGGGTTGGTGGACACGGAGAGTCCACCTAGAGAAGTTGGAATACCCTGATTCCAAACCGATGGTGCCCATAGGCTCCAGTATCCTGACGCAACAAATGGCGTATAAACCAATTGTTGGTCACTGGCCACCATGAGACTGCATCTCCTTACAATGCTCCACTGCCTTGTGGATGTGACCTTTAGGTCGAAGGCTCCGGGTGTGGCCCCCTAAGAAAACCACCTGCTTTGGTTTGGGCACCCGGGCAGTATCACAGCCCTCACACATCAAATGAGATTTGTGTGGCGCATATGTATCTGGTTCCCCCTTGTACGAGTATTTATGTGTTCAAATAAATAAATAATAAATACCATAAGAAATTTTCGACGTACACACCTTTACACTCTTCGCCTATTTCATAGTAATCATTGCTGCAAATATTTACGGTTTGCACACGCTTTCTATTTTTAAAAATCAGTATAAGAGGAAATTCGTTTCTTAGTAGACAGACGTACATCTCGCCTGTGGCAAAGATAAAGTGATTGATAGGAGAAAGCATATTTTGTCAGACACCGACCTAGTGAGTGCAAGACTCCGATGATAAATGAAACAGTCAATCCCCTGACTCCTCAGTGAATAATTGAGGGTGAAGACTAATCTGTCCTGAAGCACCCTGGAAATTTATCAAAAATCAGAAAACGGAACCGTTGTTCGTATACTCCAAGTCCATGAGTGTCTTGAAGGTGGAGAAATAAAATAAGGAAAACACTTTGGGAATATGAAATAAAATTAGAGAAGGCGAGATATCCGTCTATCAACCAAAGGAAGTGTTTACTGCGCAACAGTTCGTTCCGTCCTACTTTATGGCTGTGAAACACGGCCGGTAAGAGTACAGGATATCCGTAGGTTACTAGCATTCGATCATAGGTGTCTTCGAAGGATTGCTTGTATATCCTGGGACCATCGAGTAAGTAATGCAGTTGTTAGGAAACGGGCACTAGGTAAGGATGGCAAATCAGTTGATGACGTAATCGAACTCCATCAGTCGAGATGGCTGGGACACGTGTTACGTACGCCCAACCACTGACTGCCTCGATGCGCGATGTTTTGTTGTATAGGAGTAGATTGGAAGAAAGCTAGGGGCGGCCAGACCAAAACATGGCACAAATCCATGAAGTCATCGACAAGTGGACTGAGCCATGTTGGTAGGTGTAGACTACCTGGTTGGGTACCGCGAAACGATAGCAACCGATAGTTAGAAACCTTGAATGACATGGCTCAAAATCGTTTGCAATGGTGCAGGTGCATCCACTCTTTGTGTTCTCCCAAATTATAATCTTCTGAATTCTTCGTGTCCCTTATTTTTTCTTCCAAATTTATTTCACTGGATTATACTCCTTGAATAACATCTTCAAACCCTAGTTTTTCTGATTACAGCTGATAATTTTACTACATCTAGCGCTACGGGATTTGAATCGACCACTGTATCTCTGTACTAATGAGGTGTGGCAACTAGAACTGATGTACGCACGTACAAAGTTCTGCGTTGTTACCGACTGAATTAATTTCTCTCAACTAAATAGTATGCGAAAGGTAACAACAGTTGGCTAGACTTAGTAATGCAAAACTCTTGGTAATTAAGGAGGGGAATGCTAAGAAAAACATTCCGCGAATAATTTTTACTTTATAGGAAACAATTATGAAAATTTACAAAAAGGATGAAGTAAATAGTAAGTGAAATCAATACAGACACAAAGACTCGTTATCAACTAATGTTGCCTGTATATAAAGCAACGATGTGTATTTTCCAAAGATTGGTGAAAAATGAATGAAAGAGTAAATGTGTATGCGTGGAAATAAGGTGAATGTACTGAAGATACTAATTTTTTTCCATAATCTTTCTTAGATGTTTGTAAATATAGATGCAGATACACATAAACTAGATCAAATAATCAAATAAATTAAATTGATAACGAAGTGTCAATAATAAACTTATGAGATGAATGAGTTACACCATTTGTTACATTTAATACCAAAAAAAACAATAAAATAATTGAACATCGAACTAAGATTATAAAACATACACAAATGTCTTCAAGACAAATAGAAATACATTAAACTACAAAGAAAAAATCAATAGATGAGACGGCAAATATTTAGACAAGAAACAGAATAAAAGCAAGTAAATAATATATATGAAACATGTATAGTATTAATCATATTAACGAGTGAAAATAAAGATCCAACAAAACAGAATGAAAAAGACGTGTACCTTTGGAGATAACCATTTTAAATACACTAGTTTGATCGTCAATGGTACGATAATTATCATTGGTATTAATATTACTACTGTTACCAAGATAAACAGGAAGAAGACATATGAATTGATGACAGATACAACTCTACGAAAGCTGACAAATCAGAATGAGCGAGAGAAGTATACTACAGAGAAATTTAAGGAAGTCACAAACGAATGTGGTTGATATGAAGACAGAGAAGAAAAACGCAAACCATTCAAGTACCATTTATCATGTATGTATATATCATATGCATACAACGTTTTTTGACGACCATAATGAATATGTTCAATGACTTGTATACAACTGACTGGTAAAACTAAAGATAAATGAATCGATTATATATATATATATATATATATATATATATATATATATATATTGTTGGTTTATATGATTTAATTGATAACTGTTTGAGTCTATTTCAAAGGTTTAATACAAATAAGCTGTTGATATTATACCCATTCACATATATATTAAATACTAATGATGAAGACGGAATGTACTGCATACATTTCAATATTTCATTTGGTGAAGGATATTTATTATTAATTTAATAATTACGCTCGTGTATCCTTCTGATAAAGTTCTTCAATTTCATGTTGAAAACGAGTTTGTAAGTTGAAACGTTTTAATTTTAATGCATCCGTTACAAGACCAGTGTCTGGTGTCCAAGCTATAGTATCTAAAGCAACTTTTTGTGGTATTTCAAATGTACTTAAACGTTTTTCTCTAGCAACTCGTTGTAAATCTTTTAATACAGCTTGTATAATCTACAATAATGAAGAGAGAAAAAAACAGAGAAGCATTTTAATTGAAATTTAAATATAAAAGGATGAGTTGAACAAGTGATTTATAAGTAAATATATACCACTAAGACATTTGACAATTAACTAATACATATCAGAACTGGGTAAACGTTGATAAAAATCACATGTTAGTATGACATTATTCTAAAGTTATATGATTTTATAATTTTATCTGCAAAATTTATTTTCAATAAAATAATTTAGAATAATGAGACAATGGTAAACGAAATGTTCGATTGTTAAAACGAACGTGAAGAATGCTGGTCAATAGATGATAAATAGTGATACAAATTGTGATCGAGTGATGCCTGCTTACCAGACCAGACCAATGAATTAAGCCTCTGAATGATTTTAAATCACAAACAAGCCCATTAGCTGAGGATAACAGACATCTCAAATCACAAAAATAGGAATGGTAAATTTATTAACGATAAGTACTACACTGGGCATATAGTATATTGAATTAATTACCATCTGAAAATAGAACACTTATAACAACATTGAGACAAAAGAATAAGACTACAAATGAATATTGTGAAAAAATCTCCTAATAGAATTTAGTCATAGATAAAAGTGACTGAACTCATTCTCACTGAAATTGGAACGCTTGTCGATCGTAATCACCACCCGCTTGACAAATAGTGTGTAGTGCTTATTTTAACTATGGTTGTATCACATGTTTGTATGATTAAAATAGATTGTCAAATTAATAAAAAAACGTTGAAACGACAGTTAAACAAAACTAAAAATTCGTTTGAAATGATCACACAGACAACTTTTAGTTACGATAGCTAGATTATAATATACATCAGATTACGTGTAGTCACTTTACTTTTACATCAGCTAATTAGACAATAATATCAATGAGGTATTTTATTATTAACCTAATCAAATATTAATTGGTGCCATACATCACAAAAACAGATGATTATTTCCTCATTTCTATTAGTTTTTTGAATCTTCCTGATGATGTTGTAGACCGCATGAGATTGATCAGTCTCTTTTAGGGATATGTGCAACTTTTGAGGATCCCTTTGGTATTCCCAGTAAGTCACAAGTATCCTAAGCAGAAATAGATGGTGGTTAACCGTGGAATCCAGGTCAAGCGTTTCGTCAGATTTAGAACTCATCAGGAGGATGTACGTACATCCGTGCTGATACTCGCACCGGGACCCGAACCGAGTGACTTTTACCTCAAACACCCGCCGTGTCATTCATTTAGCTGCTGAGTTCAGATAGACACTGGCTTGTGACTCAATGGCAATATCAAGCCAAAAGAGATGGATCAACTGCATGCAGCCCATAACATCAAGCAACCAATACAAATGAATTTAAATTCACCCCGTTTTACAATGGTGATTGGGGAGATTTAGTAGTAGTCAGGCAAGGAAATGAAAGTTTATTTTATCCAGTAATACAATACACAAGACTATAAAATTAATAGAGAAATAGATTAGATCCGAAAGGTACTTGGTTATACAACTTTAGACAAACAGTTAGTAAACAATTTTATCATGACATTAATCCATCAATTACATAATGTTATATAAAAGTGAATCAATTGCAGGTGTGTCTTTACTTATACCTGACACACGCTTATTGGCCAATAAGATTAGCAGAGATGTGAGAGACCTTAAAAAGAACATTCATATCACGCCATATGGTGTGACTTTTATAACCAGCCTAAATGTAGTAATAGGGCGAAATGAACTGACCTTGAACTAAAAGATCATAAGGTAAACAGACAATGGCCTTAACACGAAGTAAATATAGAAACATTATACCAATTGTTCAATTGTTTATTACAACCATATTTTTCTAAATGAATAAGACTCACTTGAGGATGTTTACAGAGAACAGCCCGTTCTACATGTTCGATAGCAATGGGATCTTTCATTGATTCTATAGGAAGCTTTGAACGAGCTTCATGAAGTAAGTGAACTAAGTTCAAAGATTCTGCTAAGTCAGTAAGCGATTTTAATTTTGGCGACACAAAACAGATTGGATAATTTTGCATCGGGTCGACATAAACACAAATTTGTTCAACATAGACTGATTGACCAAGAGCCATTTCAACTTTGCTAAGGGAAACATATTCCCCAGCTTGTAGTTTAACAAGATCTTTTTTACGGTCAATAATTGATAGACTTCCATCTGTATGCATCAGACCAATATCCCCTGAAAAATAGATTAATAAGAATAAAATGTAACATACAAAAACATTTGTGTATAAAAACTAATTAACACTATAATTTACAGAATGTATTGAATATGAAGATACAAATGAGCGATGAAACCGAAGTTAATTCCATATCAGGATATCCGCATATGAGTTTTGAAATAATTCACAAAATTGTCCATGTGGGCAAGGAAGATGATTGGTTGCTTGTTTAGTCAGACTAGTAGATAGTCTGACAGATACTGGGTGAATTATATATTCTCTTACCCTTATTATTATTGTGATTGTTGTCGGTTTTGGATGTGGAAATATACTTACATTCTAGTCACGTGTTTTTGATCCGAGTTGTGTTGAAGTCCTATAGAATATACACTGAGAGGGTATGTAGTATAGATATTCATCTAAGGCAAATTAGCGTCCCTTTCGCGTACACAGGGAAAACAGAACATAATATTGACTTTTGAAAATCACAACAATCTAAAACGGTAGGTTGACAGAGGAATTAAATCTGCTCAAAGAGCGTGCACTTGGAAGGAAGGCTCAAATCGCAGAAGTCCCATTTATTACATACATGCTAACATCATTACCATCAAGTGATTGATGATAACTGTCAAGAAATATCTTGCGTGTTTGAAATAATCTCAAGTCAAAACATAGCAAAACAAACTTTACTTATCAACATGATAGGAACAGTTAACTAAGCGAAACGTACCAGTGCAAAACCAACGTGTGCCGTCTTGATCGGTTATGAAATCTCTAGCTGTCAATTCAGGCTGTTTGTAATAGCCTCGAGAAACCGGTTTACCAGATAAAAGAATCTCCCCACGTGGAGACGGTGTATCATAGGGAGAATACCCACCTTCAGGCCATGCTCTTAGACGAATTTGTAGAGTAGAAGCAGGTGCTCCAGAATGATTACATCGCAGATCCCCACATTCCATCAAAGTGCCAGTAGAACATGACTCAGTAAGCCCATAACTGTAAAAGAAATTTGCCAGTAAAGCAGTTGAAATTTTATATTTAGTTCGAGACATCGTTCATCAAGTTACTTTAATGCTTTTAACGATTAAGTAAAATAATTCTAAGAATAAACACGCTTTTATGTACTAATGATATGTAACACTAAATACCACTGTCCTACCGTTTAAGCTAACCCCACAAAACAAAATCTGAGCCCATGAAAGACACTGTAAACCATATCCTGACACATGTTAACAGGCCTCCTAATTAAACTTAATTGCCCAAGCAAACTAAATGTGTGTTATAGTCAACTTTTTACAAAAAACTACTGAAATGAAAAAAGTAAAGTTTAGTAACTATTGCAATCACATCTATGAAAAGTGCACGGAATTATATCAAATCTCTCTCTCTCTCTCTCTCTATATATATATATATATATATATATATATATATATATATATATATTAAAAGCTAACAATGTATGACTGAAATAATACGATATTAAATGAAACTATTGGTAAAAATATTTATGAATTAAGGTTCATCACTACTCTATAACTCCTGATAAACAATTCTAGGAGACAAAACATACAAAAACTGAAAATTCTCATTTGACAAATTAACTAGAGAGAGACTCCATTACATGAATAACAACGACATGAAAAACAGCTAAGTACTCGACATAAAAAATATGATTAGTGTTTATTATGAGGAAGTGATATATTTACAAATGCCGAAACGGTTCTAATGTACGAAGTCAAAAACAGAGAACTACTGCAACAATCATCAAAAAGTATCAATTATTTATAAACAACTATCTGTGTACCATAACTTCGTCTGGAGCCCCTCTGGGGCTACTGCCGGTCCCAAGCCGGATAAAGGAGAAAGGTTGGCGACCCCATCCCGTAGAAAACTAAGTCACTATAAAAGACGCTAACCAGAAAAAATAATTCAAACTCTGCCCTGGGAGTTAGAAGGTCTTCATTTAGAAGAACTATGACGCCCCATGGTAAAAGCCGAGTTCCTTCGGAAGCCACGAGGCCGATGCCCCTTCTAACAACCAGAGCAACCATTTACTTAAGTACATGGAATGCTCGTACAATGTGAGAGACCGGTAGAGTCTTCCAAACTGCTGCATATTGTCTGTGTACTATACTCAAGACCCGTAGGCCGGACACCATCAGCAAAAGCCTACTGTGGTAGAGATTAAACCAGCTTACAGCTGAAGAGGAAATTAAGAAACGACGTTGGAGATAGGTAGGACACAGTCTGAAGAATCCATTAAACCGCATCACAGACCAAAGAACATATGGGATAGAGAATTAGAGCAGATAGCAAAATTATGAACAGAAGTTGACAACAATTGGGAAGGAAAGCCTGAAACAGTTATTTAGAGATCCCTGGTCGGCAGCTTATGCTTCACAAGGGGAAACAGGTGTAAGTAAAATATCGTCGTAGTTAATTAGAAACTATTGTTCATCTTTTATTAGATACAATTTTTTTTAAAAAATACATGGAACTAATATACTCAGAAACCTTTGATTATGAATTGACATCTGAGGAAAGTTCAACTGTTCCCAAGTAATGCATATTCGAATATACACATCATTCGATGAAATTGATAAATAGCGATTTCTACACCCAGCAAAACCCTATCAGAACACTGAGGTCTGTAGTTAAATATATTTGTTGAACTAAATTGAATGTGTTGTTTAATAAAATACAGTGCACATGACATCATGATTAAACCGACAGGAACTGAGAAGAATTAAATTAACCCTTCCACAATCATTGATAAATTGTTATTGTAGAAAAGAGATAAATAATTCTAATGTTTAGGGTACTTTGGATCGATAGGTGCTGTCTTAAATAAAACCTTGATTGAAAACCATGTTAATTAGTGACTAGTAGTTAGTTAAATTGTGGTGTATGCTACTGATATTGACAGAAAGTGGAATGCCTGGAGGCAGGAGGTAGAGAAAACAGAAGAGAACGAGAAGAGGGTGATTGGTACGGAAACAAAGGAACAACAAAATCTGAGACAATTGATGGATATTTTGTAATTGAAGTATCACTGCATGACTCTCAGATCTGACCACGATAGTCTGTAGTGTTGTATTAAAATACATCTGGTTGTCCCTGCTTGTGTTCTCGCTCACTACAAAATAATGAAGAAAGCAACTTAGTAAGTGTAGGTTAAGCCATATGTTATCGTGCAAGTGTGAAGAAACAAATTTTATTATTCAAGAAAAACAAATGGAGTGAGGTCTGGATATATGCTAAATGTGAAGTGCTCAAACCAATGATCTTTGACTTCCCTGCTTAGTGAGAACCTGATGAAATAGTGATATTGACATGTGACATCATATTTAGTCTGTTTGCCATAAGATATGTTAGAAAAACCTTCACGGAGTACATTTTTAGTCGATAAATTTATCTCCCTGTATAGTCGCGGAATAGAATCCTTACCCTTGTATAATAGGTGCGATGCATATATTTGTGAATAATTGTGAATCCTCTGATAACGGTGCGCCACCACAAACAATATAACGAATTCGCCCACCCATGAGCGATCTAACCTTACGGAAAACCAATCGATCCACAAGGAAACTTGGAAAACCACCGTGAATTCGTCGACATTTGTAGGCATATGCAAATTTGAAGAGCTATATGAAAAAAGGTAACATGAACAAGGTAATACTAACAAACATTTTTATGGTAAGAAAAAGAAAAGAGATGGCAAACAGTGTTACTTTATTTAAATATCAAAACTAGTTCAAATTATTTGTTATTCTAGGATTATCCATTTTTTACTGTTAACGATATTATATCTGAAAAGATAATTTCAAACGAGACTGTGTTTGTCAATTCACTGGAGAAACTTAGCAATCTACTGGATCTGAAAAGTCTATAATACATAAAAATATATTACACAACACAGTCGGATAATATGCCTACAAAATATACACACGAATATCATTGACGGGGTGGCAGCAGAGGAATCCAGAACATCAATTATACTTGTATGACGTGTACTACGATTCATTATGCACTAGCTAGCATCAAAAGTCATTAAAACCATTCGATAAAACCTTTGCTAGTTTTCTATAATTTTTAAAGCTTTTAGGCTTGCTAAGCTGAGAATGAATTCGAATGAACAGAAATGATAATTTATATAAGCTATTTTCAATTCACTGTTATACACATTTTTAAGATTGTCAAAATGATTTAGCATGGATTTTTAAAGTAATTTTTCACATCTCGCATGTTTAAAAAGCTCAAAAATTTTCAGTCCAGCTTTTTTTTATAGACATCTTTTACAGTCAACCGTTAGCCATTCCAGTTTACATCATATCAAAGTAGGGCTAGCTTGGTATAGATATAGATTGAACTGAAAAATAAGTGTCATAAAATTACGATGTTTTACAAAGATTTACATCAAGTTTTTTATCCAGACAATTGCAAATAGACACAGGTACAAAATTATATTACTGCTTATTTTTCAATTAGCATTTCATATTACAATATTCTCATAATTACTGAATGACCAGCATAAAAATAATTCATAAAAGTTGATATGATTTAATATTTCTATCAATAAGATAACCAATTTTTTTTATAAACAAAATGCTACAACAAAGACAATACGAGCTAATAGGTCAATAATTATCACCATAATATTTGGTTATAAATATAAGATTGAACATATTAATTGCGATTATGTAACAATTATAAAAAAAAGAAAGAAAAATAATGAGTCAACTTGGTAACATGTTTAAAACGGGTATAATTTAATACAATTGATTAAGTCAATCAATAGTTATTAATGCATACAGATTAATTATAGATAAGACTGGAGGACACAAAATGATGTAGATAAACTTCAATACAAAATCAGCCACGATGACACACGTGTATAGTTAATGATAATAACAGTGTTTTATTTACTATAAAGTAAACATGACTTTATGCTAAATTACTACCTCTAATTTTTATTCGTTAAACAGTAAAGCTGTCAACATTTCACAACAACCGGGTTATCAACGTTATTTACAGTTAATCAATTTATTAATGTGAACTATAAAATACAAGAATCTCAATATAAAGTTTCTATTTAGATTTTAATAAAACCAGATTTTGAGAAGTGAAAATCACTGTTTATGATGACCTTTTCTATTAATAATATGTGCTTAGTTATTTATTCTAGTCAGACATAAACCAGTTAACTGTTTAGATTCTTGAGGTAAACGAAAACATTCCACAATTTGCCACACAATTGACAGTAAACATTATATTGACATAAGATATACAAGGTGGTTTCACAAATGAAAGTAATGTCTGTAGCGGAAATCTTAAAATGGATGATAACTCATCCACACATGACTCATTCATTAATCAGGTTTGATGTAAACCGATAATGCATGATCTGTATGACACTACCCATGCAGCCAAGCCAAAATGGATACTAGCAGTAAGGTTTCAAACTGAGATCCAATCCTTAGAGGTCGATTGACTTAACTTATAAGCAAATAATTTTCTGAATTTAACTGAGCGTTAGCAATAATCCGAAAATCACCGCGATAGTTCAACATAAATTGTGTGTTACCGGTCGATTACAGCAACGCGTATTCATGGTTTTCGATAGAATACCTCTAAAAATTATAAATCAAATGCAGAGCATCGCGACATTCAGTTGCTAATAATAGTGGTCACATTGTACACTTGTTAGACAGAATTTAACAGCACCAAAAAGTAAACAACTGTGTCAGTGAGCGATTAGTCAGTCAGCTACAACGTAGGACCAGACACATATATGCATCGGTCCAAGTTGCCATACCTCATTAACACAACAAGATGGACACCGGATCCATAAAAGTAGTTAATTCAGAGGTGGTAATATATGAAGGAAAGATTGTGTATAAGGATATAGTACAGTCATCTGCGTATTCTAAGTCGATAAGTGGACCTCCTGGAAGGAGATCAATACCCGAGAATTCAGTCGACGAGAATGTTATTCCCATTAGTAGGTCTATGATGAAGTCAAATAAAAATGGAGAAAGTAGACAGCCTTGACGGACACCACTTGAGGTTGCAAAAGCAGATGACAGTTCGCCATAAGCTCTGACTCGACTGGTAGTGTTCGAGTAAAGAGCATTCACAAGGTTTATGTACTTCTGAGGTACGCCTTTCAATGACAGACACTGCCACAGAATCTCGCGGTCTACGGAGTCAAATGCTGCTTTTAAGTCAAGAAAGACCGCCATTCTTGGACGCCGATAAGTATGTCTGTGGTCTAGAACCTGACGAATGGTGAATATGTGGTCGATGCAGCCACGACCAGGTCTGAAGCCAGCTTGATTCTCTCGTGTTTGCAGTTCACGAGTCTTAGTTATGCGTCTGATAATTATCGAGGCTAGTATTTTAGATACTATATTAGTTAAACTAATCCCTCTATGGTTGTCACAAGATGATTTTAACCCTCTCTTATATATTGGGACGATAAGTGATTGTGACGTGAGCGATTAATGTGCATATATTTGTACGAACCATGTTTATATATGATCTGATGATAATGGTACTGGTGTTTCAAATAGTGCTACGCAAATTAAATATTATATGCAATTTTATGTTACGTTATTCAAACTGTGGTGCATGCTACTTATGTCGACAGACATAAACAGTATGTAGCACTAATCAGAAGTGGAAAACCAGGCAGCAGGAGGCTGAGAAGATCAAGTTGAAGAATACAGAAAGGGAAATAGAAAGTAATTGTGCCTTAGAAGAATCATATATAATCTGAAGGACAAATGATGGAATTTCGCAAATGAAGTACTCGATGTATGGTTCTTATATTTTATCAAGAGATTTGATATTCAAATACAACTGGTTATCCCCACCTGTTTTCTCGTTCACAGCAAAACGACATCTTTGGAGGAAAAGCTTATTATTTGGACATTTAAATGATGAACAAATTCTAGACCATGGTACTTTTTGAATTCCGTGGAAAAAGATTCGTCATCACAGTGCATCATACTCTGTTTTAGACATTGTGGAAGAAAGGACATTACCCAGTAAGAAATCAACTACACTCAACAATGTTGTTTCATAAAGTTTAAAAATATTGAGAACTAGATCACGAAGGTTAACAACTAAAGTGAACAAATGCACATGATGCTACAAAACTACCAGTCGCTGTTCAAAAAGTTTGAGATTAGTGTTTTTAATTTCAGTATTGACAGATGTAAATTAAATTTTTGAATAAAGAATGAGCTTACTGATAAATAAAAAATACCTCTTGTCAAGCCCTACCAAAAAGATACTCAGTGCTTTTCCAGAATACCAATAACCGGATAACTGTGAGGTTGATCGTGGTATACACTTCCAACCCGTAATATGTAAGGAATTTCATAAAGATCAATCAATACAATAAGTTAACTACTGTTTACCACAGAGATGAATATCAGTACTTTTTATCTATAATAAATGAAACAATAAACGAAAGCTTATTACATTACTTATTAACGATGGTGACGCTAGAAAGACTTAATAATGAAATCAGAATCTTTAACGTAGAGTATATCAATTAGAAACATTTTGATGTAAACTTACAGCTTGAAGAAATTCACCGCCAGCGTTTACTTTTTCCCAAACAGCCTTAGAAATACGTTCTAATACAGTAGGCACACTGGCAAAAAGAGTTGGTCGAAGAAGACTGACATCACCCAAGCAGTGATCTCGTTTAATACGGGATGAAGTGTCTGTTAATGTCTGTGGATTCGAGTAACCAATCTGTGAAAAATTTATGACAATATAATAAAGCTTAGCAATCATATATAGATGTGCATGAAGTTCACTTTGACTGTACATAACGACAAAATCATGATGTCTTCCAACTAAAGAACGAGTTTACTGCACAAAGGATGGATGTGAAGCATGGCCATCGAGAGTAGAAGATATCTGTATGTTACTGGTATTTGGTTAAATATGTCTACAAAGCATCGCTTATGTATTTTGGGATCACGGAGTAAGCAATGCCAGGATTATGAGTAGGATACTGGGTAAGAACAAGAAATCGATTGACCAGTTAGTAAATCTTCATCAAATGAGGTGGTTGGGACATGCGTTACGTATGTCCAACCACCCCCTAGCTCGATGGGTGGTGTTTTCTAGTGAAATAGGCTGGAAGAAAGACAGGGGCGGCCAAACTAAAAACATGGTATCAGTCTATGGAACCACTGACAATTTTCTTAGCCATGTAAAAAGGCATAGGTAGCTCCTGAATTCCTCAAATTTTTTCGGTCTTAATTTCACTAATTTATGTTTTCTCCTTGGATCGTATCTAATCTCTTCTATTACCACTGATAGTTACTACCTCTACTATTCTAGGGTTTGGCCTGAGAACTTCGTTGCTTTGTGCTAATGGAGTATGGCACCTTGAACCGATGTACATATGTACCAGGTTTCATGTTGTGACTGACTGATTGACATCTGTATTATAAGACATAAAGCATAAACTTTTATCTGAAATTTATGCTTTAGCAAAGCCGTTAATATACAAAGATTTAAACCAAATTTGAGCTTAGAAGAACAACGTTGTCGATTGTTCTTTGCCTTGATGATCATAGTTTTAAGAATTGGCTACGTGACACTGATTTTCTCACACCCTTAATTCTTTTCCTTTTCTTTTCGTTTCCTAAGCTAAACTTGACTCAGTTAACTACGTGGCATTTAGTATCATATAACCTCTGAAATTGATCTTCTATTACTAGAATCCTGTTTTCATGCTTTTCTCAGTTTACTCTGCTAAGATATCCGTATATTCATCTTATACTTACTTACGCCTATTACCCCTTGTGGAGCATAGGCCAGGATTCTCCAACCAACTATGTCCTGAACTCTTTTTTCCAGTCAAAAACTGTATACAAACCATTTAATCCTTTTATAATAATTGTCTTTTGAATACTATTTTACATCTATATCAATATTAACATTAACCAAGACTTATTTTGATTTTAATAATTAAAACTAGTTTCTAAATTGTAAGCAACTGGAAAAAATTTATGAAATAAAGGAAATTCATATCACTCCGCCTGTAGCACTTCTACGGTTATTGTCAATTTTAATCCCGGATAAAGAAGGGGGTTGGGTATGGGCTCAACAACCACTTCCCGTAAAAACAACCTTGTTAAGAAACGCTAACCAGAAAAAAATCCTTTATACCATTTAAACTTTGCCCTGGGAGTTGGAGGATCTTCATATAGGAGAATCATGACGATTCCTAGTGAAAGCCGATATTATTCAGAATTCACGAGGACGATATACCCCTTCTAACAACCAGAATAACAATTAATGAGGGTACATGGAATGTCCAGGCAATGTATGAGACCAGAAGGACTAATCAAATAGCCACGGAAATGAGATACAAATTGGCAGTGCTCGGAATCAGTGGAACGCATTGAATTCAAGCTGGACAGAAACGGTTAGATTCGGGACATACTGTTGTACTTTGGCCACGAAGAAGAAAATGCTCCACACATTCAGGGAGTTGCCCTGATGTTGTCCAAAGAAGCACGACATACACTTATGGAATGCGAATCTCATGGATCAATAATCATCAAAGAATACAAAGAACAAGGGGATCACAATGGATGTTATCCAGTGATATACACCTACCAGTGATAGCAACGACGACGATAAAGATTAGTTTTACGAGATTGCAATCGATCATAGAGAAGTGTCCAGGAAAGAATCTGACCATCCTGATCGGAGACCTAAATGCCGAAGTCGGAATGGACAACACCGAGTATGAAGATAGCATGGTACGACATGAACTGAGAGAAAGAAACGAGGATAGTGACAGATTTGCAAATCTATGTGCATTCAACAAAATAGTTATAGGTGGTACAATATTCCCCCACAAACGCATACACTAGTTACATGGGTTTCACAGAATCACACTACGCAGAACCAGATATATCATATTTGCATCACTAAAAATTTAGAAGGTCAATGGAAGACGTGAGAACAGGGAGAGGAGCTGATATAGCTTCAGATCACAACCTGGTGGTTTCCAAGATGAAACTGAAGCTAAAGAAGCAATGAACAACTGGAGAAACAGCATTATAAGGGTTTAGTGCAGCCTTTCTTCGAGATACTGATAAAATCAACGAATTCAAGATAGCTTTCAAGCTTTACAAGATCTACTCAGAGAAGAGGAAACTACTATGGAGGACATTTGGGAAGGGATCAAAGAAGCATTAACTTCAGCATGTCGGGAAGCGCTGGACCGCAGGAGGCATGGATCTCTATCGAAAACATGGGCAGGATTCAAAAAAAGATAGCAGTTAACAACAGTCGGACAAGAACAGAGAAAGTTAAGGCACAGGCCGAATATACAGAAGCGAACAAGCAAGTGAAGAAGAGCATTAGAGCTAACAAGCAGAAATACGTAGAAGACTTAACAGCGGCAGCGGAAGAAGCTGCAAGAGAAGGAAATATGGAACAACCATATGAAACAACGAAGAAACTAGCAAGAAAATACAGTGAACCAGAGCGATAAGTCAAGGATAGATAAAGCAAGCCAATCACTGAAATTCACGAACAGCGGAACAGTTAAGTAGAACACTTTGAAGAACTCTTGGATAGACCAGCTCCACTGAACCTACCGGACATAGAAACAGCACACACAGTCCTTTCTATAGCTGTCACTTCACGAATGATGGAAGAAATCACCATGGGCATCAGACAAATCAAGAGTGGGAAAGCAACATACCACTTGTAGCACCGAAGTCAGGCATAGGAGTAACTGCAAACATGCTCCACACTATATTCATGAAGATTTGGGGAAAGAACAAGTGCCAACATACTGGAAAGAAGGGTACCTTATCTGGATATCAAAAAAAGATTTCAGTAAGTGTGAGAACCAAAGAGGCATCACACTGTCGGTACCACGAAAAGTTTCCAACAGTGTTGCCGAACTGAATGACCAGCTTCGAGATCAACAGGCTGGATTCCGTAAGGATCGGTCGTGTACAAACCGAATCGCGACAATATGGATCATTGTTGGGCAATCAATTCAATGGTCAACATCATACGGAATTCATATGATGGACTACACTGCAAAGTGGTGCATGGAGGACAGCTGATAGATGCATTTCAAGGGCGAATCGGAGTCAGACAAGGCTGTTTACACTTGCTCTTTCTCTTTCTTTTGATGGTTGACTGAATTATGAAGTCCACATTTCAGGGGATGCACCGGACACAATGGACAGCTTGGACGCACAACTAGACGATTTGAACTTTTCAGATGACCTGGTCCATCTATCCCATACACACCAACAAATGCATGTGAAAATCAATGTAGCAACAGATGCCGCATCAGCATCAGTAGGCCTCAACATATACAAAGGAAAAAGCAAGATCCTCAAATACAACACGGAGAATACCAACCCAATCACATTTGATGGAGAAGCACTGTGAGAGGTGGAAACCTTCACAAACCTGGACAGCACCATTGATGAACATAGAGGATTCGATGCAGATGTGAGGGCAAGGATTGCTAAAGCAAGGGCGGTATTCCTACCGTTGAAGGACATATAGAACTCAAAACAACTGTCAACCAACATCAAAGTCAGAATCTTAAATACGAACGTCAAGACAGTTCTACTGAGCAGAGCTGAAACTTAGAGAACTACTACAACCATAATCGAAAAGGTACAGGTACTTATAAACAATCGTCCACACAAGATACTCAATGTCCGTTGATCGGATACTATTAGCAACAGCCTACAGTGGGAGAGAAAAGAATCGGCTTCTATTTGAAGAGGAAATTAGGAAAAGGCGTTGTATATGAATAGGACATACATTACGGAAACCACCAAAATACATCACGAGGTAAGCACTAACTTGGAATCCTAAAAGGAAACGGAAAAAGGAAGGTCGAAGAACACACTACATCGGGAATTAGAAACAGACATGAAAAGGATGAATAGCAACTGAAAAGGATTGCCCATGACAGAGTTCGATGGAGAACGCTGATAGGTGGCCTTTGCTCCTCCACGAGAGGCAACAGGCGTAAGGAAGTACAATTGTTTCTCTTTACTGTAATTTAAACTGACTATTTTAAACAAGAATATTGTAGCAAAAAAAGTATGAAGAAAGTTGTCATGAAACTTACTCGTACACCCATAATGACACAGGATAATTCACAGGTAAGCTCTAAAACATGAGCTAGTGGTAGATATCCGACATATATGTCGTAATTACTACGAAGTTTCGGTAAACGTTGTAGATGACCAGCTATGGCACTTACTAAGTTTTCATGGGTCATTTCAACGCCTTTAGGCTGACCTATACAACATAAAAAAGGAACACAACTTGAAATCTGAATTAAATATATTTTCATTATCAAGCTGATACGTTAGAACAAAATACCCATTTAGTCCAAGGAACATGTGTTTAACCGAGTCAAAACTTACAAAAGCAACAATAACAAACTATCAAATAAGTTGAGATTAAGGTGGTTGAAAGTTGTTCGTTTATTTCAAATAAAGGAAATCAATGTAAGGTAGGTGATTTTGGTACATCAATGTACCAAGCTGTTTTGTGTTCCAACTCAATAAGAATAGGTGAAGAAAAGTAAAATACTAGCCACTTGTGACCAAACTAATTAGTAACAGTATTAACGTAACTTTCTAATCAAATACTGTTCTGTGTTCGGTTCAAACTTTCACATGAGTTGTTAGTGGCAAAACTGGGTTGCCTGAAGTGGAGTTAGAAAATGTATAGTAAATAAACTACCAGAAATTAGATTTAGCCATTTTTATATAGCTATCGCCAAAAATGCACTAAACTATTTTGTGACCATAAAATTAATGAAAACGACACAACACTGAAAAGTTTGTAATATGCTTTAGGAATTAACGAAAATATAAATTCCATAACTTTAAAAATATTTTGACTAATTAATCAGAATAAAAATTGCAATGAAAGTTAAGAGTAACTCAGTTGAAATATAAAATTGTTATTTTTGGTTGTTTTAATGTCAACAACATTTCCCGAACTGAAAAATTATAAGAGAATTTCCAATCTTTGTTAGATATAACTGTCGAAGCTAACTAATATAGAACAATATATATAAACGAACAATACTGTTTTCGATTAGATCCTCATCAGGCTTTACTCTAGTATACTAATATAACAGTGAATCATGTATACAATCGTGACTAATCTGTATATGTATTATTTCAACAATAAATTTTAGGTGAACAATAAGGTTGTTATGACGACCACACCCAATGCACAAAATACATGTTCACATCTACTATATATGCTGTTCGTTTATAAACTAATGCGTAGAGTAAACAATTTTTAGTTTGTATGAAGTAAAATTTAACTCCGCCTGTGGCTCTTCTAGAGTTACTGCCGGTCCCAAGCCCGCGTGAAAAACTGTGACGCCTCATGGTGAAAGCCGAGTTCCTTCGGAAGCCACGAGGCCGATGCCCCTTCTAAAAACCATAGCAACAATCTTTATAGGTACATGGAACGTCTGAACAATGTGGGAGACCGGGAAGACCAGTCAAATAGCAACGGAAATGAAGTGATATAACTTGGCACTACTGGGAATCAGCGAAACTCATTGAACCCAAGCTGGACGACAAAGGCTCAATACGGGAGAGATGCTGCTATACTCCGATCACGAAGAGGAGTTGCTCTAATGCTGTCCAAAGTAGCACGAAATGTACTTGTAGGATGGGAATTTCACGGATCCAGAATCATCAAAGCATCATTCAAAACAAAGAAGGAGCGGATCTTAATGAATATTACCCAATGTTATGCACCCACCAGTGATAGCAACGACGATATTAAAGATCAATTCTACGAGAGGCTGCGATCAACCATAGAGAAGTGCCCAAGAAACAACCTCACCATTCTGATGGGAGATCTAAATCTGTGTGCATTCTACAAATTGGTCGTAGGCGGCACAATATTTCCACACAAACGTATACACAAAGCTACATGGATCTCACCGGACGACAGCACAGAGAACCAGATAGATCATATTTGCATCAATAAAAAGTTCCGAAGGACAATGCAAGATGTGATAACTAGGAGAGGAGTTGACATAGCTTCAGATCACCACCTAGTTGTGGCCAATTTAAATCTGAAGTTAAAGAAGAACTGGACAACTAGACAAACAGCACTACAAAGGTTCAATACAGACTTCCTTCGAGATACTGACAAACTCAATGAATTCAAGATAGCTCTCAACAACAGGTTCCAAGCCTTATATGATCTACTGAGTGAAGAAGAAACTACTATGGAGGACAACTGGGAAAGCATCAAGGAAGCATTAACTTCAACGTGTCAAGAGGTTTTGGGCCTCAAAAAACACCATCATAAGGAATGGATTTCTATAGAAACACTGGACAGGATCAAAGAAAGGAAAAACAAGAAGACAGTAATTAACAACACGATTGATCTGATAAACTCCATGATGAATAGTAAATATTGTCAGTTGCACCGTTTGTTCAGTTCTATATTTATATGTAAAAAAATCCGATGTCTTTTATTGATCCTAACTATGTCAAACAACTGATACTAAATGAATTACTGCCAAATATTGACTGCTATAGATCAATGAAAGACAATCTTCATTTTTTCTTCCAGATTCAACTAATCTGAAGGTAGAGGGTAACCGCCAAAAGATTTTTTAGATCCAACAGATAACCGGTACACAACTTTTGCATACAAATATTTTAAGTAAATTGGTGTATTAAAAAAAACAGACTATAGATAGAGCCGTTAAGGGTGAAAAAAGCATGGATATATCCTAGACAGTCAGCCATATGTAACGTACAACCTAGGCTCAAGTTTCCACACCGTATTAACACAGCGATATGAAACTATCAAGGCAAACAGCAGAGTAGTAACAATAACAGTAGTAGTATTAATAGTAAAAGTCAAGTATAGAAAAATAAAGACTTGGACTCAGGATCTAGTGGTAGAAAATGAGTGAATACGTCTGGGTCCCTGAGCCGTATCAACCGACCTTTCCAAACACTAGTTGCGAGAATGGTGCGAACTTGCTAGGGTTAGAGCAGTCTGAACCTACCTACATGGCTGGTCCCCAGTCAATGATTTTAAGGACTGATGTTACGCATTGGTTCGGTCATTCATACATTCTACTCAACCTACTCCCATGCCGCCCAACATCACCTATCGGCGTAATGGTGGTTGGGGATGCGTAATATCTTATGCCAGTATTTGACCACAGATGCCTCAGAAATATTGCTGGCGTCTGCTGGGATCACCGGATAAGTAATAGTGAGGTTAGATGCAGGGTATTAGGGAAGGATGGTAAATCAGTTGATGAGGTTGTGAATCTTCATCGACTGAGATAGGTGGGCCACGTGTTACGTATGCCCGAACACCGATTACCATGACGTGCAATGCTACCCGGTGTTCGGGATGGTTGGAGGAAAGTTAGGGGCGGCCAAACCAAAACGTGGCATCAGTGCTTGAAGTCACTAACTTGTAGTCTGAGCCGTGTTGGTAGATGCAGACTACTTGGTTGGAGTCCGCGTGACTGTCGTAACCAATGGTTGGAGACTCTTGGTGACATGGCTCAGAATCGATCACAATGGCGTCGGTGTATACACTCTCTGTTTTCTCTTAAACTAAGAGATTAAAATCGCTTCATATCTTTCTTTCTAGGAACTAATTCTTTCTTCCTGTACTATATCCTTATTGCAATCTTTCTTTTATATATTACCACCTCTGAATTCACTACTTTTATGAATCCGGTGTCCATCTTGTGTTAATGAGGTATGGCGACTTGGACCGATGCATAAATGTGCCTGGTCCTATGTTAGAGCTGACTGACTATGCCAGTTGACGAAAGTGGACTGCATAATCAGCTGATTTTCCATCTTAACATAACATCATAAGCTTAATTTGAACATTCTACACTCGGTGATCCCAACATACACGAGCAATAATTCGCAGGTTACTGGTATTCGATCATAGGTGTCTTCGAAATATTGCTCGTATATCCTGGGACCATCGAGTAAGTAATGCAGTTGTTAGAAAACGGGCACTAGGTAAGGATGGCAAATCAGTTGATGACGTAATCGAACTCCATCAGTCGAGATGGCTGGGACACGTGTTACGTACGCCCAACCACCGACTGCCTCGATGCGCGATGTTTTGTGGTGTAGGAGTAGGTCGGAAGAGAGCTAGGGGCGGCCAGACCAAAACATGGCACAAATCCATGAAGTCATTGACAAGTGGACTGAGCCATGTTGGTAGGTGTAGACTACCTGGTTGGGTACCGCGAAACGATAGCAACCGATAGTTAGAAACCTTGAATGACATGGCTCAAAATCGTTTGCAATGGTGCAGGTGCATCCACTCTTTGTGTTCTCCCAAATTCTAATCTTCTGAATTCTTTGTGTCCCTTATTTTTTCTTCCAAATTTATTTCACTGGATTAAGCTCCATAAATAACATCTCCAAAATCTAATCTTTCCGATCACTGCTCATACTTTTACTACCTCTACCACTATGCGATTTGAATCGACAACTGCATCTCTGTGCTAATATGGTATGGCAACCAGAACTGATGTACGAACGTACAAAGTTCTACAATGTGACTGACTGACTGAATAATTCGAGGGAATTTATGATCGAAAACCAGTAACATACATATCTCCATATCTAGAAGTCACATTTCACAGAAATAAAGTATAACAGAACGGACTTTTGTGCAGTATAGATGCCCTTTGGTTGGTAGACGGACCACTTGTCTAAGCCCCAAGTGACGCAAAAGATAACCAACATTTCATTATTCAGAAACCTACCAAGGCTAATAAGACTTTCAAATGGTCGACACACCTAATTACATCACTTTTTATTATTAGTCTAAGCGTTGACGCATACCAGTCCTGAAGCAATATTTGGCATTTAGATGGGGAGAATCATATCTTAAACGCGTAAGTGTTGCCGCGCAAGGCTAAATTCCACTGGTATTTTTATCATTTGCGTATTTTAACTTCGAAAGTGGATAGCGTGACACATGAACTTGTGAAAGACTAGAAGAAAACTTTATCTCCAAATGAATATATACGAATAAATTAAACGAAAATGAGGAAAGCGGACAACCCTCACAAACATCACTTGATGATATCGATTATAGTTGAATTCATGAGTTGATTGAAGCTAGATCATCATGGAACGGCCATTTCATCCTAATATGGAACTCCTCAGCAGTGCAGTAAATCCACGATCCCGCTCGTGGAATTTGAACCCAGGGCCTTCAGTCTCGTGTGCGAACGCCCAATCCCTAGACCACTGTTCCGGCAACCAATGGTGTTAATGTCTAACATCAACCGATCCACGAAATTGAGCCACCGTTCACTATTATCTTCAGTGAGTTACTGCCTCACAATAGACACAATTGAACTCCACTGGTCACGGCTTCTCACTAGAACTCCAAGATATACCTCTTGAAGTTTCTAGGTGTTCCGTATTGGTCTAGACTCATGAATTCAAATATTAAATTACCACAATCTCCACAAAACCCCCTTTCTGATGAAATCGATTATGATAAGTTCACTACAAACTCTAAGTCGATCAAAAACAACTACAGTACAGCCACAAACAAATGAATATACTTGCACAGCGAAATAAAATACGTTCGCATGAGTCACATATTGAGATGAACACACACAGTCTAAAAAAACATGCCCACGAAAAATGAAGTATCTTTTAGTATGGCTTTCATTAGACTCAGATAATAACTTATTGAACAAGCATGACCACTTGATTCATGAATAAGTTTACTTAACGTCCTAACATCTGATCCTAAAAGACAAATCGGAGGTGTAATTTTACTATAGTAATCCAGTATGTAGTACAACTATACTCAAGATTTTGCATTCTCCTCATTGTGGGAAATAAGAGAAAGTTTACTACTTACACTAAATCAATCATGTATACATACTTAATACGAATATTGGTAACATTTTTCATTGTTGTATGAACGTTTGATCGCTTATTCGCTTAAAAAAATTAAATCAATAAATTCATTGCTGATAAAACTGTGAAACTAATTTGTATACTTCACTTTTACCAGTGTTTACACAAACTTGAATTGATGAACAATAATAATCTTACTATAATAGGTTTCGTTCATTCAAAACGAGGAAATGATGCAAGAATAGGGAGTAATATCCGAAAAATAAGGAGTGGTAAATTAATTGGACTGTTTGCTATTTTTGTCAGTTATCTGACAAGTAACAAATTATATCACAGTGTAGATTACAAAAATAGGTAGGATAGAATCAGAAAAAGAACCGAGGGGTGTTCAATTTTTTAACTGGTCTAGTGAGTACAAAGAGCCTATATAGAACTAAAATATGTTGGGCTGTAACAACCTCGTGGGTGCGGTTCTGGAGATTAAGCGACTAATTAGCTTGAAACATTATCCAATTTCGGTCAGAATACAGGGCAGTGACAAGCCTACTATAGTTCTTGTTATGTTTCAAAAAGATAGCACGAGACTTTTTAGGTGGTTATACATTTACAGTTATTTCAGAAGTTTTATCACCAATTAACTAATAGTGCCATTGAGAGCAGAAATGTAAAAAATAAATGTGTTGAAAAGTTAGTACCATGAAAGAAATAATTTCGTTTTATGTTGACAGATGAGTAGTATAGTAATTTACAAGAAACAGACGACGTAGAGACTACTTTAGGTAGTAACACATGAACGATACGGTGAATAAGGAAATTCAAAAAATTACGTAAACAGAGAAACCAGCATTACTGTGATGATAGGTTGCCTGATATATACTACCAGTCTAAGACACTTGGCTTACTGCCAAGTAAAAGTCTTAGCTAAACTCGAAACTACACATTTTATGTAACAAAGGCTGGTCGGGGGTCTTCAAATATTGAAGAGCAATTGGGTATATATTAATCAAAACTTCCGATCCACATAGTTGAATAACATTTAAATATGTGGGAATGTGTCTAATAAATGATTCGGGTGATAGAGATTTAATTGTTCAAAATACTGAAATATAGTCTTCTAAACAAAGTAAATACCTAAGCTTGTTGTATAAAATGTCATCATATACATGATAAATGCACAGAACATAATAAGATAATTGGTTCTTATATATGCAACTTTCAGGATTAATATCAGAGTAACATTTGTCACTGATACTTTTCAGGTACAGGGAATAAATCACTTTTCTACGTACAATTCAACTTTTAGAATACAGGTAAACAGCTTGTTGGTACATTTCCAAGGTCCATATATTTATATGCATAGTCAAAAAATAATAAACTGAAGAATTCGATAGGTACAAATAAGCTATAAAGAAAATTATAATAGTTCATTAAAATCGATGGATAAGTGAAAACACTGAAATCGCCAAGAAACAGTGTACAAATTATACCTGTTGATCCACTTGTGTACATAATCACAGCTAAATCCGAGGGACTGGCACGTTCTGATGCAGGAGGCATCCATAAACCCTCATAACCGTTCGATGAGTGATTATTATTTCCTGTAATTGGTGTGGTACCACCCATTTTTCGCTTTTCTCTATCTTTCATGATTACTGCAGCTCCCAAACGTTCGACTTCGACTATATTGTGTAGATGTAAATTTGACGGACATTTTGTCAGAGCTTCTGCAACACTAGCGGTAGCACTTTCAGAAGGAACAGCGAGGTTGTCAACTTCTGTATAAAGTTCTCGATTAAAAACTCCATTTGTGAAGTAGATAATACGTTGAATTGAAGGACATCGTTGAACAATTTTAATTACTTTTGATAAGAGCTCATCGCTTGTGAACACGACCACAGCCTGAGATTAAAATAAAGTCCACACATAAAGTTTCTTATTGAATATGCAAAAACATGTTTAAACAAACTGAAGTTACAAGCAAAAAATAGATGATGGTTGATTAGAATCACTAACAAGCAATAAAAACGATCGTCAAGTTATTAGGTAAGAACGCAATGATAATCACTGAACAGCTGAGCTGAAATATTATCGTTGTTAGACAATTCCAGCTAATGTAACGCGTTACACGATGGTTCCAGCTACACTCTCTTAGCTTGCTCAGAGAGCTGATACAATTAGGCTACTTATTTATGAAGTACAGACAACTTAAAGTACTTCACACTGAAAATGTGAACGTTAGTGACTCTGTTAGATTGTAAAGCTGAAGTATAGTGGGTTCCAAACCAGCAACCCACTCGCTGAATCCCGTAAACAACGATTCTCCTATTTACCGTACTTTCATCATGTGTTGCCTCCAAACTTGACCATTCAACTATTGTCACGTAGAAAGAGGATACATCAATTTATATTGTGAGTGAAACTAAATTAGAACAGAAACTACTTGCAGTTCACCAAGCTATGAGTAAGTGAGAAAGTAACCAACAGGTCGGATTAAGACAGCACCAAAAGAGCTTAAATTGCTAACGAACATTCTCACGTAACCTTAGTATGTTTTATGTCACATAGTAACTGTGACGAAAGAGCTTTTGTACCATGTTACTCCTTTGGATCATTTGGAACTCCATTTGTTACTTCTCGTCGTAATCAACAAATGTTTCGGACATATAGCTTGACGAAACACTTGGAACAATGATGCATCGGAAAATGTGCTACATTAAACTACATATATATAGTTCGAAGATCAAGTGTACTGAAGCAATAACTCCATAATGGAGCGTTGAATGTGTAAAATATATTAGAGACAAAAACAACATTTACAGGGATGAACGTACTGATTAAGAATTTTGTAGTTATATTACCAAGACATCCAACTTCCCCTCCCTTGATAATTACATGGACCGTAAAACAGTAGCTGAGTAGTCAACATTCAACTAATAAGAACACCTTAGATTTATTAGCTATTACAATCAAACTGTGTCGATTGCCGCCACCAGCTATTAACAATTATTTAACCGGTTTTTCCTAACCACAGCTTTGGTTGGTCATATTTACTGGTTACTTTCACCGTAACCCACTGGATATATTCTCGAGAACCAAAGTTAATAAATGAAAATGTAAGTGATTTTTAACAGTTCTTGCTTATATTACAATCAATTAAGCTTGGTTATTACCAGCTTATATCTAGTCTAAAGCACCTTGAACTACTAACGTGTCATAGTTAACTAAGTGACACATTATCGAACTATCAAATAGCTAAAAGCTACATTTAAAAGATACACCTGACATTTTCTGAGCCAGGATTCAACACCAACCACTGAAGCTCAATCTAGATGATGGATTGAACAACTTGATTTACGTCATTTCAAAGAGAATACTCTATAGTTGGATCTGACAGTAAATTTAGACTAATCCTTAAAAATGTGGACAAAAATATTAAGTAAACTCAGAGATATGTAAACATTGTCAGACGAGCCAATAAACTAGGTAAAATGAATGCAATCAGTGAAAAATGTATTTGACAAGTGTAACAATTTACTGACTTCAGTTTCATTAAATCCATGTACCAATGCATCGTCACCGAGAGTAGCGTACAAAGTAGCAACAGGTCGGTTGAGACGAAAGCAGGCCTGAGCAGCAAACATCCACTCAGCTCTTGTTTCACTAAATAGGGCAATGGGCTGATTATGTTCCTTAACGGACCCCAACATTGAATACAAACCAGCTGCTAGATGAGATACTCGACGTTCAGCGTCCCAAAATGTCTCCCAAGAGTACTCACCCAAAGTGAGCTCAATCATTTGTCGTCCGTCAGGACTCAGCTAGTGTAGAACAAAATCATACGAAATTAGAATATATAATAAACACAATACATGAATCATTTCTTATGGGGAAGTACCTACTTACCACTATACTCACCAAAAAACGAAAACACACTAAGACTTAGAAGTGAGAATTACTTGAAACAGAAGCGTTTAAGGAATCCATATTTCCTGAACACCATATGAATTGCTTGGTTTACATTAATATGGGAACGAGATGATAGTTTCGCAATAATATCACTTCATGACCTTTCCTTAGATGGAATATACAATTCTAGCGAGTACCAAGCATTTTATTTCACTTATACAACCATGGATGACTGGAAGTACACATAGAACATCCAGCTTTTAAACCAATGAAAGGTATAATCAGACAAACGTTCGTGGCACGTACTTGAGAAGGTTCATATCAAGATATTCGTCAACAGATGTAAACTGTTATTTCACTGAATATGTGGGGACATTCCATAAACAATTTAATTAGACAGAAAAATATAAAACTAGCTTGGAACGGTGAGAATAATGTGGATCTTGCTGTTCAATTTCACCAAACACATAAAGTTTAGCGAGGTGTGACTGGTGAAGACCTGTACACTGATGAGTGACTGATTCTGAGTGATCAAGTCGCTGGGAACTTTCACGGGTAACGTTAATAGCAGGCTGGTAATCTGATCCCCCACACAACTTCAACATGGCAAAATGAAGGTAAAACTCGAATAGGAAAGAATTGTAAGCCATAGTACAAATAATGGTAGTCTAAAAATGGATGGTAGGGTCCTAAAGGGAATGAAATAGTAGTATAAAACGTATCAAATAATGCTGTAACTCAAAATCGTCGGGGACACACAGTGAATGTGTCCATACTTCAATATCCCATCCGAACTATTTTCGGCCTTTACAAATGTTACTTAGAATTAACAGATCATACTGTCTCCGGAACCAACTTTAGTGGATAATAATGTAACAAACCAGTTTATCGAGTGACAAGTTACGCAGTTATGTCTTCCGTTCTGATGACACTTGGTATTCTTGGCGTTGGTAGTCTGAAATTACTAGTATAATCCATCATCCAGCAATTCGAAACTTGTTCCAGTAGGAGTTTTTTTCAGTTACTTCGACTGAATAACCGACCAAAGAATCATGTAAACAAAAACCGTCCACTACGTATATCAACACTCATATGGGCTTCATCTGGAGAAGTTACTTAAATAGTGTGGTCGAAACGTCCTGTATGAAACTCACTCGGTAGTCCGTGCGTAGGACAGCTCTTGTTCCAAACGCAGGCAAATCAGGCCACAGCTTAACTGTGCGGAGCCAAACATCAACCAAATCTTTACATCCAGGAAGTGAACTCGTCAGACCATCGAGGGCTTCAACTGCTCTCCATGGCGAACCGGGATCACCTTCACGTACAGGAAGTGCCAAAGTCCGACTTTCTTCTTCATTATATGTCCAGTCGCTGTCAACAGGAGAGTTGGGCAGCGGCATATATCTCAACGTTTTGCTGAATAAGTAGTACAGTGGCCATGTTAGATACTCATAAGCATAAACAACTATCTTTATAACTTCAATCCCAATTGGAACCAGAAGTTTTGAGAGACACCTCATAGTGAATCCACACAAGATCGATGTGAGCCTGCCAACAGAGTGTTGAATGCGCGGGCCAATCTTGAATCCATTCAACGTTGAACATCAGATTCAGATTCAGATTTGTGTAGTAAGGACAGAAGGCCTACGGCCTGTGTTATTCCTTTTCTAGTATGCTTCTGTGAGTGTCCAGTCTTCTCTTGAAAGAGTCAATTGAAGATGCGGATACCACTGCTTCAGACAGCAGGTTCCAAGTATTGATGACTCGGTGTGAAAACCTGTATGCCACGGGTATTTTGTTCGTTCTTGGCTTTTCTACTCGCCTGCTATGTCCTCTGAGGTGTCCCGATCTAGTGGGAAGGAAGAGAGAGAATAAGTTAGGTCCGAAATCATTTCTTAGTATTCTGTACATCAATATTAGATCTCCCCTTAGTCTGCGATAGGACAGAGTAAAGAGGTTCAGTTTTTCAAGCCGCTCTTTATATGATAAACCCCGGAGTTCTGGAATTGCGCGCGTAGCTGCCCTCTGTACCTTTTCTAGTATGTCTGAGTCACCTTTTAAACAGGAGCTTGCAGCCTGAACACAGTTCTCTAACTTAGTTCTCACTAAGGATGTGTATAATGTGGTGAACATGGTAGTATCAAGCTTAGTGAATGTCCTTTTTAAAGCCCAGAGGGTTCGAAACCCCTTAACTATGACCTCTCGGCAATGAGCCGTCGTCTTAAGATCATTGCTCACTATCACCCCTAGGTCCTTATGAGACCGGACTATGGGTAATGACACATCCCCTATGTTGTATGTATTAACCTTTGAATCCCCCAAGTGCATGTAGACACACTTTTCCGAGTTGATAGGCATCAGCCACTCTTTAGACCAGTTTATCATATTATTTAAGTCCGCCTGAAGAGTAAATGCGTCTTTGTCTCCAGTTATAACTCGCCAATTTTTTACATCGTCAGCGTATAATAACATTGGAGACTGTACTATACTTGTAAGATCATTAACGTACATTATAAAAAGTAAAGGACCTAAGACGGAACCTTGGGGTACTCCGCTAAGTACTGGTCTCCAGATGGAGCATTTGGAATTTATTCTTACTTTTTGCATACGACCTACTAGGAAATCCTTAATCCATTTTAAAAGAGGTCCGGCAATACCAAGGTTTCCCAACTTCAATAGCAGTCTATTAGTTGGCACCTTGTCAAAAGCCTTACTGAAGTCTATGTAGACAACATTCACTGAGTTTCCATTGTCTAGCGCATTAATCCAGAGCTCCCTAGCTATAAGGAGGTTCGTTGTACAGGATAGACCCTTTCTAAAACCATGTTGTGCCATGTTCAGCAAGTTATTGGTTTCCATAAATGCTGTTATGGTCCGTTTGATTATTCTTTCCAGTATTTTCATTACAACACTGGTGAGGCTTACGGGTCTGTACTTCGATGGAACTTGTCGTGGACCTGTTTTATGTATGGGAGTGACTATTGCGTCCTTCCAGTTTATAGGTAACACACCTTGGTCAAGTGACATTTTGAATATCACAGTCAGTGAGGCTGCGATATATTGGGCAATATGTCTCAAAATTTTAGGGTGTAGTTCATCTGGTCCAGTTGACTTCTCCATGTTTAGGGTGCTAAGAGCCTTAAGCACATCGTTTTGGTCGAAGTCCACGGTGAGCAGCTGGTTTTTTGACTCTGTAATTGAGTCTGGTTCTTTCTCTAGAGGAGGTTCCTGAGTGAAAACTGCCCCAAAGTAGTCAGCCATAACCTCAGCTTTTTCCTGATCTTCCTCTATCATTTCAGATTCACTTCCTACTTTAATTAGTTTGGGAATCCAGTGATGAGTCCTTGTTCTGTAGTTTATGTACGAGAATATCCTCTTGGGCTGCTTGAGTGCAGATTGTGCCAGCTGCATTTCATATTTTCTTTGCGCTTCCCGAATTTTAGTTATACACACGTTTCTTATCGATCTGTAGTGTTCCATCGTACCTGCTGTGCCAAGGCGGATGGCAACATCCCAGGATTTCTTCTTTTGTCTTAGTAAGCGTCGAATATCCCGCCCTAACCAGGGATGTCCGTGCTTCTTTTTCTTTGGAACTGTCCAGGGTATATATGGTTGAGTTACCCGATTGTATAACTGCCTGAATAGAGTCCATGCCTATTGTTCTGATGCCCTTGAGTCAATTTCCCAGTTCTCAGCCGATGCTGCGGAGTTAATTGCCTGCATATCTGCCGGCGCAATTGTTTGACAAGCAATTTCAGCCATGAATTTGAATAAGATGACTGCATGGTCACTTCTCCCAAGTGGTGGGAGAAAAGCCGTTTGACCAACGTCATCACCGTGTGTGAAGACTAAATCTAAAAGAGAGGAAGAGTTTCTTAAGTCGTATCTTGTGGGATCTATAATGTGTTGGAATAATGCTAGTCCAATCAAGGTTTCTAACAGTTTGGAGTCGAACGACGATATAGATGACTCTACTTCTAAGTTAACCCAGTTTATATATGGTGCATTAAAGTCGCCTACTACAAGGCTTTTACCGTTGTTACACCAGGACTTAAGTTTACTGAGGAGAAAAGCATCTGCTACACATTCTGGACTGCGATAAACTACAACTACTTCAATATCTTGCCTTCGGCATTTCAACTTACATCTCACCAGTTCACATGTCCCTGAAACATGTGCTACTGTCTCAGCTAATCTTATGGTTAGGGTACTTTTCGTGTACACAATAATCCCGCCTCCCCTTCGGTTTAATCTATCAGCCCTACTGGTTATAAAACCGGTCAATTGGATTTCACTATCTAATACTTCTGACGTTAACCAAGTTTTCGAGACAGCTATAACGTCCGGTTTTTCTTTATCCACCACTGACTTCAGCTTCGCCATTTTATTTAGTAGGCTGCGAGCATTTGTGTAGCACACTTTTAAGTCTGTGGAGAGCTTTTCCTTGCCACCCAGAGTGTCTTGGGGATCGTTTTGCTCCGAACTTTTACAATCTGAAAACACTTAAGAACGAGGTTTCTTTCACCGTTTCGGCGACGCTCGTTTATTTCCGCTTCTGCAGCTCTTCTCTTAACACGATCAGCTAGGCTGAGGTCCTCACGGACATATATTCCGGATCCAATCAGTTTACGTGAATTACTTAGAACCAGGTTTCTTTCTTCCACCGCGTTGAATGTAACCTTTAGGAGGCGGTTTTTCTGAGGACTATCGGAATCCACCTTTTTTCCTATTCTATTAAGCTTACAAATACTAACTCCTGAAACTGTATCTGAGAGTAGTTTACTTAATGATGTCTTAATATGATTGAGATCATGTTCAAATCTTGCCTTTGGTTCAGTGTCTGAAGATTCTCTTACCTTATGAAAAATGACTGATCTCTCAGAGAGATCTGTCTTTTCACGCGGTGAGGATTTTTCTTCTGATAAAGTCCCTTCCAATGTCTTGCTAACCAGCTGCGTTTTGCCTACAGCCTTTTTCTTCTTACCGAAGTCCATTTGTCACCACTCAGAACAGCCACACCTGGACTATGTGGAACGGTGACAGTTTTATCCGGATCTTCTATTTCGACCGGAGGTGTATGACTGCCGATGTCAATATCAAGCGACACCTCATTCCTCGTTAATGTCAACGGAGATTTCACGTTTCCGTCAACCGCAGTCAGGTGTTTAATGGGTCCAGTAGCAGCACTTACTACACTGACACATTCTTCATCGTCAGTGCTCCTGTTTTCAGTGCTTCCGCCATCGTTTTTCTTGCAGGCCAAAGCCAATAGGCCCATAGCCTCCTGTATTAGTACCTTTTTATCCGTACAGCAGAACACACAAAGCCAATACGAGTTAGGCTTCGAGCATCTTTTGTAAGCCGTCGGACTTAGTCGTGTACACATTTTGTGATACCACTTTTTACAGTCGTCACACTGCATTCCCTCCTCAACGGAGAACAAACAATTTGGTTGCCCACATTTGGGAGTCTTACCAACCATTGTAATTCGATTTAAAAGGTTTAAAAACAAAAAATGATAACAATGTGAACACAAGTGTTAGTCAAGGACTAAAAACAGGTACCCAGGACAAAATGTAGCAAAAAATTTCAAACTTTAACCAAAGAACTCTTAGTTAAAGTAGACCAAGAATGCTTTTGACAGGAAAATGATCTAATGAAATTCTCGGTATTTACGACAGTGGATCGACTGACCAGCGTTTTTCTCCTCAGCAAGTGATAATGTGAAGGTCCTGTGTTCTTTCGAAACTGTCGAACAATTTTTCACAGGAAACATTCCGTCTTTCACCAATTAATACGTAAAATAGAATTACACTTTGCGATTATTAAATCAGGGCTTCTGATGGCATTGGAGTTGATCAGCTTCAGAGAGAAGAAAACAATGGCTAATGATAACACTCGAACTATTACTACAGATAACAATTTCACTATTTTGGTTACGATATATTTGGTCAGCTGCAACACGAATATAAGGTTATCTTGCGTTCTACGAACGGATAAAGAGAAATCATTCGGGTATCTTATTTGCTTCTTGCAGAAGGATCTTTCATTAACCTCAGGTCTACGCATTGAATACTTCTGACTGTGTTGGTATCCTTATTAAGATATGGAGTAGCTGTCTGTATCCATCATTATAGAACAAGCGTAGTGTTTGTGCTAATTAAGAATTTCATTACACATCATTTCGTATATGATTGGAATTAACATCACGATTCCCTCAAGTATGGCCAGCGCTCTCTCTTTAGTTCAAATAATGATCTATTTGTGACAACTGGTCTACGAATTGGACGGTCCCGGGCAATCCTACTTCAGGTCACATATAGATGAGGTTTAAAATGTAGATTTTACGTAGGTCCAATGCAATGTCACTGAACCCCAGCCTAATTAGTCATGAAGCTGAACCTCTCCTAAGTTACACAACAGATCACTTGAAGTTGGACAGTTTGTTGGACGTCGTGACGGTGAACGATGATTAGCGTGAATTAACTAAATTGACACCATGAACTGGCGCATGCGGCAGTGACGTTTTCTTACTATCCTTT